AAAAACAAAATCTCTAAAACAAGTTTAATGTCTTCATTTGTTTAGGCAGAGCCTGGATCCCACTGGACATAGAAATTTGCTCTATGCTATTCCAGTGCCTTCACTTACCATTTTGTGTTTCTTTCCCATTTAACACACCTCTACTGTCGATAGTAGAGGCTGATACGAGAGAGCATCAATCTGAGGCTAACCAAATTGAAAACATTTGGGTGAGTGAACTGGACTTTGCAGGTGGCACTTTGTAATTCTCTGCCAGCCTCTGCAAGTGGGAAAGGTGACTGGGTTCACAGCCTTTCGAAAGGCTGCTATGAGCTGGGAGGTGATTCATGTTGGGGAAAACATGTTGGTAAGTAGGAGGAAGTGGAGGAGGATTTCTCAGGAAAATAAACCCCCAAAGTGAAACATTTCACTTAATTGAGCAGCCCCATTTACAGTGGGGAGATCAAAGCAGAGAGGAATTGGAGAACTGAAGAATGCATTCCACGCCATAAAAGATCAGGTGAAAGAGGAAGATAAGTCTAAAAATAACAAGGAAAACCTGTGCAACCCTCAGTGTTTTATGAAAGCACTTATTAAAGCAGCAAACGTAACCAGACAGGAGGACAGTGGGAGGCTTTTTGGCAGACAATATTGTAGATTCTTTATCTGTGGCTCAGCCAAATCCCAATGGATGGACACCACATCAGGATCAGCCTGTGCATTGGGTTAGCAGAAGAAATAAAGGAAAGAGCTGCATTGAAGAAAGGGAGAAAAAGCAACAGAGAAGGAGAAAGATGAGAAAGATCACAGGATAGTCAAAGCTTTGTCAGGTTGTAAGCTTTTTGAAAAACAAAGGATTCAGGAGCTCAGGGCCATATTTTGGTGAACAGATCTGAAGTGGAAAGAGGTGAAACATAAAGCTTTTAAAAGGAACAGAAGGTGCAGCTTTCTTACTGGACAGTTTCTTCTTATGGCTAAGAAATGAATTAGAATGCAAAATTCTTACTTTGCTAATTCAGAGAATTCTTTCGAACTTTCAGCAAATCAGTTAATAAAAAATCAAGATCCATCCAAAAATATTTGGCGTTGCCCTAAAGAAGAATTAAAGTCCATGGTTCTTTGATAGATTATAATCAGCATCTTCAAACACTGACATTCCTCTAAAAATATGGCCTCGGTGATGATTTATTCACCATCAATAAAAGGAGGATGGCTCCTTATATCCTATAAGAGTTTCCAGTGGGCCAAATTCACTGTGAGATGCTCTGATACTACAATGGTTACAGTTACACAAGTAGTCTAGAAATGTTCTTTACTCCTAATTTACTGAAAATCTTGTTCTAATGCCTTCTCTTATCCCTCATAGGGCATTATGAAAACTGTTTTAGAACACAGAAGGAAATTCAGAACACGCTTTAAACCAAGTCCTTGATGACTGCTTTGTCAATGGACAATTTCCTGGATGAATCTTTAAAAGACTGGAAAAAAACTGGTTTTGTTATCTGGGGACAGCTGCAGATATGCAAGTCCAATTTTTAAACAGCTAAAGGAGACACTGCAAAAGCTCACTGGGCCTTCAAGTTGCCCTGCGTGCGGGGGCTGCCAGCTGCGTGTTTCTTTTGTCTCTTTTTCTCAGCTTCCAAACTTAAGTATATATCAAGCCTTGCCTCTGTTTAATTTCCATTATTTCCGCTTCCTATCGACACCACTGGGAAAGGCTAGAATAAAAGAGCTGCAGGATTTGCAGCATCTGAGCGTGTCTGATCACAAGCCGGCAAGTCGGGGGGTCCCTGAGCTGACACCAGAGGGCAGGCGGACCATGCAGGTCTGCGAGGGTCTGGAGCAGCCGGGGGCTCCTGCTGCCTGCAGCATCGCTTTGCATTGCGAAGGCATGATCTCATGGTCATGTTGGGAGTTTATCTCCAACACAAATTGCCACAGGAAGCATTTTGTCAAAATTTCAATATCAAAGTGGTCACAGCCCCTATAGTGAACAGCTTTATTTACTTAGGAGATAAAGGCCGCTGAGCAGAAAGTTAAATTAGAGTAAGCAGGCTCCTGCTTCTGTATAAATGCTGAAAGGAAGTCAGTGCCTCTCTGGAAGCCACACTTCAAAGGAAATCTATTTAAAAATATAGCCATTTTTAGACATGGTCAGTAGCTTAAAATATAAGAAACATAAAATCAGGGGAGTGCTGGCCGTGCTAATGGTAGGCAACAATTAGGTAGAACTTTAATTTTACAAAAAGCTCTTGTAACTTAAAAATTGATGGATTATTCACCTCTGACATTGTTCTGAGCACGCCTGAACCATTCCATAGCTGGCAAAAAGTCATGAAATTTGTCTTTAAGGAGAGGTTTTTCAGCACTCAAACAAACTGCAGCTTTCTGAAGGCACAGTGCTGCTTTTCCTTACCTTTGAGCATAGCTCTCTTGTTTCAGATTACAGCCTAAATCTGTTCAGATCCAGAGGTCTGGCTTACCCCATTATAAGATGAGAGCATGGCATAAGTCTACTTCTTATTTGGATACCCTATCTTAAACCACCAAGCTTAAAGTATGTTGCAATCTGAGACTATTCCAGCTCACTAAGACAAAAAATAAATAGCTATGCAGCAATACATTTACCTTATCTACATAGTAAATATTACAGATATCCTTCTTCACAGAGCTTTCTTCAGTAAAATCCAGTTCCCTTCTCAGCCCTTGGTCAGACAAACTCCTACAAAAATCCACTGGGTATGGAGGTCCTAAGGATTTTTATGGGACCATTTTCTCACAGCTGTTATCAGGTGCTTAAAGGAAGCAGTTGTAGAGTTAAGGGATGGCTTATGGAAAATATCTGTTTATCTTCAAACTTCCCAACCTTTAAAATACTTTCATGGATACTCAAATCAGTGATAAAGATCAGCGTTGACATGCTTCAGCATGACATTTTTCCTTCCTTGTGAATCCCAGCTCAACCATGTGATGGCTAATACACTCAAAAATGCAATGAGCTTATGACCCGTCTGTTCTGTGCAGAGTGTTCATCCTTATGGGGCACTGTGAGTTTTTCAAGAGTTATTTTAATCTCTTTAGGTACCATGGGACCAGCTATTGTTCTTACTGGCACCATTTTTGTACTTAAAATTAAATGCATCTGTGCTTCTTGACCAGTAATGGAGTTGCATGTGCTAAAAAAATAATAATTGAAAAAATTATACGTAATCTTCTTTTCTGGGGCACCACACATTTTGCACAAGAGAGAGCATGTAATCCTACAGTGTCTAAATTAGGAGTCTACTTACGCCAGGAGTTTAGATCCTAAGAAGGCTGAATCAGGCTCTGAGGATGCCTTACTCTTTACAGAGAGAGCTGCCATTTCTACCTCGCTTACAGCTAAAGAAGTGGGTCAGGGCTCAGGCCCCGGCTGCTGAAGTAGGAAATGGCTAGTTCAACATTCAGCTCAGGCCTATGTTTTTGGATAAAGAAGCTGTGAACTACGGCTTCCAGAACTCTGATGAAAATTAGGACAAGAGGCAATGGGCATAAACTGAACCACAGGAAGTTCCTTCTGAACCTGAGGAAAAACTTCTTGACTGTGAGGGTGACTGAGCACTGCAAGAGGTTGCCCAGAGAGGTAGTGGAGTCTCCTTCCCTGGAGATATTCAAAACCCACCTGGATGCGATCCTGGGAAATATGCTCTAGAGGACCCTGCTGGAGCAGGGAGGTTGGACTAGATGATCTCCAGAGGCCCCTTCCAACCTCAACTATTCTGTGATTCTGTGATTACACCCAAATACCTATGTGTTTGAATGTACTC